AAAATAAACCAACAGTTTTTCTGTTAACAGCACAGTATGTAATGTAGAATTTCAGGACTTCAGTTGTTTTACATGTATTGATGTGTGTTAAATTGACTGTTTAATCTGTAAAAGGCTGCATTTAAAATTGTAATAAAGTACTGTAAGGGAACATGTACTCTGATTGTGAATAAAGTGACCACAGCAGAATCTTATATTAATGTTGATTGTGCCTATGGAAGATGGGGGAGAAGTGCAGTTTCTGTCACTGAAAAGTGACTGTATTTGACTAGTTTTGGAAGAAATCCAACCAACTTTCTTGAATATGATCACTTCCAGCTATTTGAAACAAATGTAGACTAAGGGCTAAGGGTTTGACACAAAGGGGGAGGGTCAGGTTAGATTTTGGTTAGTGATGATCATTGTTCAACATAAATACATAGCTGAGCTCCATAGTTACATCTGCAAACAGTCCTGTGACAAACAATGGTCTCTTTCAAGAGCCTTGATGCTTTTTTGAGAAAATATCAATTAATTGCTGAAAGAATGAAAGTGGAACAGAAGTCTTCTCTCCAATGGAAATTTTTCCATGAAACTTTAAAAGTGAAAATTGTGACACTTCGATTAACATTAATAAACTTATCAACATTTGGGAATGACTAAGTTTTATTTTGTTTGGTTTTGGGTTTTTTTTGTTTTGTTTTTTTTTTTAAATTTTTTAGCAGCCCATGGGCTATAAATTTGAATGTTTTACTAATTCACCTACAGCACACTATTGGCTTAGATGCTGTGTTTAAAGGATCTTATGTTTTTCATAATAGTAAAGCTGATTTGCAGTTTTTAGCAGCTCAGGATTTTAAAGGCAAATCAATCTACTGGTAGGAACAAAAATTTTCTTGAACTAGGACCTCCCAGCATGCCTGTTTGGGTGGCCCTGGCTTATTATGGCCCATGAAAATGCATGGTCATACATCTGACTGGTTTTGGTTGCTGTTAAAAGAGTTTTGCTTAACTGAGCAATGTAAACAGTATAGCTGTGTTTATTCATAAATTATCAATGCATATGTATTTCAAGTTCTCTTACTAGGATGTTCTGTGAAAAAGTGCTCTAAGCAATAGGTGGCAGTTTGGACTGATGAATTCAAAAATACAAGGTACCTCATGGACTACTAGAATAGCTGAGCCTGAGATTTAGAGGAAATTAAAACTATTTCAATAATTATATTGCAAAAGTATTTAGAAGGGTCTGCGTGGAATGTTTTCATAAGGTGCTTAAAAACTTTAGTATACTACTACTAATAAGATTGTCTGGATAAGTGAAAATTATTTGTATAGAAAGTGAGCAAGCATTATTTCCTTTTATATTTACTAGCAAGCTTGTACCCCAAATGCTGCTCTTTGACTGGATTTTACATGAGTCCAGCTTGGCCTTACTGCAGAGAGAGGGAGATTTAGTTTCCTCGTCTGATTAGTACTTTTTTGTCAGATGTTCCCCTCCTAGATTAAAAGGAGGAATTTTATAAATAAAGGAGTGCTCAACATTGATTTTTGTTTTTTGAGTAATTCAAAACTTAGTGTGTTGCAGAAAACAACAGCAGAGTTCTGTATTTCTTTATTTTTTGAGTACATTCTGCAATTTCTAGCAATAGCATGGAACTGGTTTGCATTAATGAGATAGAAAGGGGGAAAGGTATTTTTAACAACATATAGATTTGTGTACTTTTAAAAGAAGTAATAAAACACTGTTTTGTGCCACATTACTGGACCTCAGTTTTTAGATGTAATGTTTTCCTTAGACAGTGAATTGTGAAAGTGCTGAAGACTGTGTCATGTTTGCACCTGGTTGTACTGTTCTGGTACAACTAATCTCCTGCAAGCTTTAGAAAAAGCAGCAACAAATTTCAGACTGTTTCATTGCTGGAAATCATTACATACAATGACAAGAACCTTTGGGGGGAAAAATTCATTATGGAAGGGCTTTTTCAAGCATTGAAACAGGCTGGCCGGGAAAGAGGTGGAGATATTTAAAAGCCACATAGACGTGGTGCTTAGGGACATGGTTTAGGGGTGGACTTGGCAGTGTCAGTTTAAGAGGTGGACTCAGGGATCTTGGGGGTGTGACAGTTTCTAGATATTGTTCTGAAGATGCACTTTCTAGGCACAGAGGCTGACTTTCTTTAAACTGTTGTAGCTATGTTAAGCCCTTGCTATCATGTTTTATAATGCAGAGCTGCTAAACTGGCAAGTCTGTAGAAAACCATCAGTGGGACTGTAGTTTTTAAAATTGCCATGGATTAGCCAAATGAACTGTTGAGACAGAGTTGTTGTAGCAGTGGCAGGTCTGAACCTGTTCGATAAATACCTTGGTTTGTGTGCAGTAATTGAATGATCCGGCTTTCAAGTTACTATTCCATTATTAAAAATGACAAGGTCATTCAACGCCCATTTGAATCCCACTTGGTTTTGTACCGGAATGATAGGTCATACTCCATAGCAAGGGATAAGCACACTCCATTAATTTCGGATAAATGACTGTTGGGGTGTGCCTTACTTGCAGTAAAATTGCTTTCTGGTTTTGAGTTTAGATAACAGAAAAGCAAGGCTATCACTTCCTTGGAAGGCAAAGTAGAAAAGGCTGGCCTACTTTAGACAACAAAAGATTGGACTTATGTAAATAAAAATTAGGGCAGAAGAGGCAAGAAAAAAAAGTCTTTTTTTATTGCTTGTATTCAGCACCTCTACAAAATGTCAGTGAAGGAGCCCAAAATTATTTCTGAGACTACTGATTTTATTTTTTTTTTCATTAACATGTCAGTAAGTGACTCTGTGAGCATTTTCACGGTGAAGTTTGCTTGGCATATTTACTTCAAGTCAATGCAACTCCAACCAACCAAAACCAGAAAACAAATATGTGGATATCCATGGGGTTTCTTCCATTTTTAACATATTTTTCCTTAATAAGTGATATGAAATTATTTATTTAAAATTTAAATAAAATGGTTTTTGTATTTTAAAATTAATCATAGAAAGTAAATATAGAATTTATTGATGAAATTTCTTGTTTCAAATATGTTGTGTGGTTAACTGGTTCCTATCCACTTTACTAGTAAATTACTGGATGGGTGGAATTTGATTTATAGACCTGTGTAATGTTCAGAGAATGTGTAGTGCATCATTGAATGCAGAGGGTTAGACACGAGCTTGCCAAGTTTTAGAATTAGTTGGTGTATTTATTCTAGCCAACTGCTTAGTGATGATAAGCATAGATAATTAAATTTGAGTAATCTGTTTGAAGAACAAATTTATTTTTTAATTGTCTTGTGGAGAGCGGGTTCTGTTTTACAGCTGATTTATAAAGGAGTTTGGAGACCCCTAGGTTTTTATAGTTGTTTAAGCCTCTGTTGTGGTCACACTTGTTTGTTCAGTTTGTGGCACTGTCCAGCTGTCTTTTATGAACTCATAAACCCAGACCTTCAGGTGGATAAGCATTACAGCTATTGATTTGGGGGGGTTAGAGAAGATGTTTAGCTAGCTCACAGTCTTGTAAATGTACTGTTGTGTGGATAAAACATCTGTGTTAAGGACAAAGTAATTTCTGAGTAAGACATGGTGGATTTTATCTTGAGTAGAGATGAATTGGCTGATCTAGAAAATCATATGGAAAATCTAGTAGAATTTCCATCAGTTAAATAGAAATTAATTTCTACCCTAAGAAGTGCTAGTGGATTGTAGCCTCACATATGTCTAATGTTTATAAGTATTTTACATATTTGTGAATTAAATATGGCAAATATACTTGCCCTGGATAACACACCTAAAATTCTATTTTATGACTTAAACAGCTTAAGAAATCCTACACATTTTGGGTAGTTTGGTTGTAATGCAAACCTAAGCTCTTTATTGGACACTCGGGCAGAAATATTTTCATTTTATGTCTGAGGATAGGATTCAAAACAAGCTATACGAATTTTGAAAGCAAAGTAATTTAAGAAGGGAGGAAAAAAGGGCCATTTATTTGAGTTCAGTCTCAGTTCTGCTGCACAGTTATCCAGGGGGGTCTCCAATAGCTCTGGATCTGATGGCTATCTTGAAAACTGCTTGCGAAATCTGCTCTTGGCCTCAGTGTTGTTAGAAAGTAGATAATTCCTTCATTAGGAATTGAGGCTGTACTGTGAATACTTCTGATGCTGTGCACTCTGTACAGTGCTGTACACAGCACTGAGCTGTGTGAATTGTCAGCTGAGGTGAAGTTCCACTTGGCACACAAACTCCTTCAGACAGAGAATCATCCTTGTTCTGATTTGTCTGGTCTTGGTGCATCCTGTCTGATCTTGAGGCTTTCATTATGTAAAATGGAGTGTCAGCATTGCTGGTGATGGGAAAATATTCAAAGGTGCTGGAAAGGAGGATACAAAATCCCAGCCAGTGTGTGGTGGCCACATGTTGACCACTGGCCAGTACCACAGAGGGTACATAAGGTTGCTGTAAGAGGAGATGTGTTCACTGCTTTCCTGAGAAGCCTTTTCTTCTCTGCTCACTGCTGTGCAGGAAGAATTATTGGTGCTCTACAGTGTAGCAAAGCTTTAATTCAGTGGATTTTTGTGTTTGATGCAGGCTGCTGTGACCCTGCACACTGGAGATGGTCACTCCATGGTTAACTTCAGCAGTACCTGGGTGTATGCAGCTCTTCCATCCCAGTTCATAGACCTCTCACTTGAAATTAACTGGGGCAGAAAAATGTGTGAAATCAAAGGCAGCAGTTCACCAGATGTAATTAGTGCTCTCAGGTATGAGAGGGTCCTTTTGTGCCTGCCTACCTGGTAGAACATCCAACTGAGAGCCTCCTGAATGGTATTGCAGTTAATCCTGAGAGAGTTTTGTCTGTTTACACTTCTTACACACAGACACAGAAGCGCTGAAAGCTGAAAACCCATCCTTCACAGGGGCCGTGGAGCAGGGGAGTGCCTTACTGAAACGTGCTGGTTTTGATGGAGAACTCTTCTTTGCTTTGTGTCCATTAGGTTCTACTAAGCCTGTGTCTGCAGAGATGCCAGATAAAACACCAGGTGCTACAGAGCCTGTGCCCAGAAGTGAAGGTTAGTAGTTTTCTTCCATTCTTTTGTCTATTGGAAAAAAAAAAAAAAAAAAGTTTGGATTCTGTGAAGAATTTTTTGAAGTTAAAGGCTGAGTTTCCCTTACTGGACTTAATTTTAAGGGAGAGCTGGATTAGTATTATATGTGCATGTCTATCTAGGTAGCAGGATATTTTCACTTGTCTTTGAGTAACCTCTCCATCCCTCCCTAGCCCATCATCCATGAGAGTACTAAAATATATAATAATGGGGAAGTGCACTGCTAGGATTTCAGCACTGGAGATGTTTTGTCCCATTTGCTAAAGAGATCTTAACTGAAGCCAGTTTTTTGTACAATATACTTGAGTCTCACAGAACCAAAGCTGACATTTAAGATGTGGGTTGATTGATAAAAGGAGGAATTGTCTGTGTGATTTTCACTAAATCAGTGGAATCTTGAAATGCTCATTCAGACCATTTTGTTTCCTCTTGAGGTCTGTTAATTTTAAATTCCCATATCTGAAAGTTTGGTACTTGGTTTCAGGGCAAATTCATTATTTGAAAACAATTGTAACCCTGCCTAACTTGATTCCTTCCTCAGAATCACTGCTGGATGTGTCATTAAGGCATTTTATAATAAGTTGCTATTTCATGTGAAGTGAAATTTGCTATTTCATTGTGAGGTATTTCTGACAGTATTGTGTTAAAACTATAGTAGCTCTTGTATATCCTTGCTTTCTAGATCATTGTTGTCCTCACACAAGGACTATATTAATTCAAATGTGTGGTTTAGTTTGACTAAAGTTTACAGTTCAGGATTTTTTATTCTATGGCTCAAGACAGTTGTCTCAAAATTTAGTTTTAAGTATTTTTGTAGATTTTGAACCTCAGTTTTGGCATTTGAAAGGCACGGAGGAGCAAGCTGCAATAATAATTTCAAGAAGTGCATCAAATACCATAGAGAAAGGTAATTCTCTTCATGTAAATGGTGTTAAATTGTGCTTAACTGTGGAAGACCTTTTTAAAATTTACTGTAAAGCTTAACATGTTGCTGGGAGAACTCTCCACACAAGAGGAGAAGCAATTCCAGCTAGTCTTTTAAAGACTGAGCTCTTTCTCATGCACATGTTGTGTGTCATCCTTTTAATTAAATGCTTATGCTAAAAGCATTGGAGTGTGTTTACTTGAAGCAAAAGCCTACAATAAAATGTAGCTAACTAAAATGATGAGATTATTCTGAATCTTCATTTTCAAATTGCAGTTATCATTGTACTTTGTTGTGATAAGAACTCATGAAGTTATTCCAGAGTCTGTATGAAATATCCTTGCTCACTTGGTTAGAGCAGGATGCTGATAACGCCAAGGTCACAGCTTTAGCCCCTGAATGGGCCATTCACATTAGAGTTGTACTTGCTGATACTTGTGGGTCCCTTCCAACTCAGAATATTCTCTGTGATTTTGTGTGTATGCTTTAACAAATGCAGTGTTTACTAAAACAAAATTTTATCCAGGTTCAATCTGGATACTTTGTTTTTAATTGCTCTTTAGGAACTAATTTTTAGATTTAAAAAATAAAAGATGAGCTAATGAATAATGATGAAGCTGCACTTAAGAGACCTGTTTTTATGTCTTGATGAAAATGCTCTACTATAGATAAAACATTCTAATGATATGAAGTCATGAGTGCTGGAAGTTAATGAGAGAGTTTGTTTTGGTTTATTGTAATAAATACATTCAAAGATGTTATGATAATGTTTACTGAAGAAAAAGATCAGACATATATGACAGTGGCTGCTGCAGCATGGATTGCAAGATAAACTTCCATAGTTAGTCTTTGATCATATACATCTCTATTTACTTAGCATTTATACAGCTAACTGGTGTGTAGAAATATTTTGCTGGTATGACTGAGTAAGAATTGAGAAGTGGGTGTTTCATTTCTCATGATTAAAATAGCAATGCTCCATATGTGCATAAACATTTATGTGAACTTTTGTAATTATTTCCAGAAATCATAACAACTTATTACTGCTTGTGTTTTTCCCCAAAGAAATATTCTTGCAGTCATTGGTTAAAAGAAAAGAAAAATGTGTATTTGTTGTTACAGATTTCTAACAATTAACCTCTAATGTTCATCAGGGTCAAGTTGGGTTGAGCAAAGTGTTGGCAAGTAACTGATTATCTGGAAACTTTGAAAAAGCCAGTGTTGCTTTAACCTAGCAGTGCCCCTCCCTGCCCCTGACCCACTGCTCCATATACTCCAGTTAAGCCGTGCAGCACACAGGAGCAGACAATTGAGAAAGGAGTTTCCTGTAATTAAGTTACTGTAACTTAGTCCTTGACTCGAGGGTCCCCAGTGGGTGGGCAGACTGTTTGCTTTTCTGCCACCTCTTCTGTCAAACCTTTTAGAGTCAACAGTTGTATTTATAAATGTCAATGCTTGCTTTGTGCTATCAGGAGAAAAAACCCAGGATCTGGAGATTTGGTTGTTGCAAAGATGGAAGTGTGTGCATATCACACAGGGAAAAATATTTTTCAAGAAGCTTGTCTAGCTATCAAGGAGTGGTAGACAAACAAATTAAAACAAAAAGCTCCTACCATGATCCACATATAACTATTTCTTAACTGTTTTCCTTTGGCAAAGCTATTATATTCTATTTACAATGGATGCATTTAGAACAATGTACTATGTCAATACCAGGAAGTGGATTGAGTGTATTTCTGGTTTAGCTTGCAAAGGAATTAGCATTTTTTTCTGCTTGTGTTTGCCGAAAAGTCACTCTTAAACTTCTAGTATAGTTAACCACTGGAAATGAGGGTGTGACAGGAGCACCCCAGCCACAGCTCAAATTCCTCCTCTCTCCTTTAGGGTGGCCGCTGTGATTCACAGTTGCTGCTCATGATGGTATTTGGAGCTGAGGAGTTACTTATTTGCAAAAATTTAGGGGAATGATTGTAGAATTCTTTCACTACAAATTATCTGTCCTATAGGATTAAAACTTTTTCTACCTTAACAAAATTATTATGATACTGAAATTTTTTTCATAAAACACAAGTGTTTAATCCGTGGATAGTGGATTAATTTTTTTGTCCTGATACCTGTGAACAGCTGTTCACAACATAGCTAGGCTTGCTTCGAAGAAACCAGATGAGGTCTACCTTAGTGTCTGTTTGGAAGATTCACAGACTCAAAGTTTTTTGGGATATCAGTCAAGTGCTACCTTAGCAGTAGCTTTATGCAAAACACTTAGAACATATATATGGATGTGGGAACCTTTTTTCAGTTTCTCCAGTCAGCTTGACTGGTTGTTTTTCTGTGCCTTGAAGTAGGCATATTTGAAGAAGACATGAGGAAGTTAAACTTCCACAAAGTCTTCTTCCTTTCCCTCTTCCCACACCAACTTTTTCATTTAAGTAAGAGGCATGACTTCCCACAGCTGGATCCTCTCTTACTGACTTCATGGTCCACACTTGCATCCTGAAGGAAACGAATGTTACACCTGGACTTTATAAACAGCCACTGACAAATCCCTGTGGACAGCAAGCTTATGTCATTGTAAAATATCCTACAGCAACAAGCAGTGGTTTTCCTTGCATTGTGTACCTTATGGCACTAATGGGAGCCTGCCAGCTCTTTCTGTTGCTGCTTGTGATGTCTCATTGCATTTTGTAACTCCTCTGACTTAGATCTGTCTGCTGTTTCTGCTGTAATGTGCAACGCTGCACAGGAAAAACGTGCAAGCACAACCCCATGGATCATACACTTCAAATGCAGTGAGGAAAATAGCATCAGTATTCCTACTTCCAGATTTTGCCAAGGCTGATTCTTTAATGGCAGGAATGCCAGGGTGTGGTTGTGTGGGTTAGTAAGTGCTGCTGTGCTGCCTTTTGTCCCAGTGCTGTGTGGGCTTTCAGAACATCCTGTGTAATGGAGAAAGTTGTTGTTACACTTTATTGTTACTACACCCCTTTTAAAGAAACAGAGAAATAGATGGGAAAATGAAGCATCTTATCTAAAGCTTTTTCAGATCTTATGTGCACGTGAAGTTATAGGAAGCTATGGTGATGGTGCACTTGTAGGCTTAACAGTATATCACTGGGCTGAGATGGGCACAAAAAAATCTGTGTGCTGACACTGAGTGGGTGAGATGGAATATAAAAGGCCTTCGCTATTTATTCAGAAGGGGATGGACATTGTGGACTTCCCTGCAAAATAATAATGTGAATTTTTAAAAATCATGAGTTGAAAGGGAGACCAGAGAAGACAGCTCCAAATAAATGAGCCACTGTAAATTAAGGAATGGCCTTTAGCTGAAAATGGTTGGAAGCTAGAAAAGTGATGGGGAAAACACAGTACGTGCTTTTTATATTCTCACTATCCCCAGTAATTTAATCTTCCTGTGCCAGGTTATTCCTTAGTTACTACTCATAGCCTCGTTTTGCAGCAGCTTTTAATGTCCCCAAAATCATATATTGATGGAGGAGAAGTCTCTGTATAAGGACAGTATCTGAAATTCTTAACCCTAGTGTTTATAAAAGGAGGTGATGAAGCCTAAGTAGATTTGAAAGCCGGTTGGAAATGTGAGAAAAGTGAAGTGGAAGGGTGATGAAATTGGATATTTTGTTACTGACTCCTCACTACATTGTTGGCTTCCCTAGGCGCACTGCAAGAGGGTGGCACATCTTCCTTTGAAAAAGGGGTTGTGGGCTGTTGTCACAAGGCATAATGACTCTTGTCATAACTCTTGTCACCTGAGTCCGCAGGAGCTGAGCGCTCGCAGGAGCCCGAGGCAGCTGCTGTGCTGCAGCCAGTCCGTGCAGCCCTGCGGTGTGCAGCGCAGCTCGTGTTCCCTGCGGTGCCTGAGCCCTTAAACCCAGCCTTGAATAGCTGGCCGTGCCATGAAAGCACTTTGGTGAGCTGCCTTGGTCACCGAGCCGCTCTGGCTGCGTCACGCCTTCTTCTCAGTCGCCAACAGGATGAACCTGGACTGGCTTCTCAACTTCCTCCGCTCAGTGAGGAGGAG